TTCTTTTTTTTTTTTTTTTTTTCCCTATTTTGAGACACAGTCTCACTAAGTCACTAAGTTGCCTAGGGTTGGCTCAAACTTGTGATCTTCCTGCCTCAGCCTCCCCGAGTGCTGGGTTACAGGAGTACACTACCATGCCTGGATTAATTATTTCTTATAGAATATAATATTTAGATATTTTTGTAGAATGTAAATGTTTATAACAAAAATTAAAGGTGTGTCAAACCAAGGTCAAAATACAATTTTTTGATACATTTCTAAAGGTGATTATTAAAGTTAAATGGATCTCTTGTTTTGATTGTTGATAGTTCTAGAGCATTTAGAAATATTTTTGTTGGCTGGGGATTTAGCTCAGTGGTTCCACTGTCTGCCTCACAAGCGCAAGGGCCCGCGTTCTATACCCAGTACCCAAAAAAAAAGAAAAAGAAATCTTTTTGTTTATATTTTTTTTGTTTGTTTGTATTTTGGTACCTGGGATCAAACTCAGAACCTTGCACTTGTGAGGCAGGCGATGGAACCACTGAGCTACCCTGGCCCCCCCCCTTTTTTTTTGGTACGGGGATCAAACTCGGGACCTTGAGCTTGCCAGTTAGGCAATGTGCCACTGAGCTACATACCTGGCCCTAGAAATATTTTTTTATTGTGAATTAATCTTTGTAAGTGTGATTCTATTACCTGTGTTAAAGCAAGGGGCAATAAAAAGGATTTTGGCATAAAGAGATTTAACAATTATTCATATTCACAATTTAAAATTGGTTGTGTATCTCGTTTTTCTGCCCTAGTTGATGATCAGCTGTCTGTACATATTGACGAAGGTGGATGGGCTTGCCTGGTCTGCAAGGAGAAGCTCCTTGTTTGGAAGATCACCCTGTCCCCTGTCACCAAGGTGTGTTCTTCAGGGAGCTCATGGGCCACAGGGGTAGGGAACCACTGGATCCTGCATCTTCTCCTCCCTCTTTAGGGCTGGGAGGACAGTGGTCTGAATCTACATAGGCATTTGGGAATTTGTGAAAACACTGAGCACACATCCAAGTTTGTGTACTAGGAAAAGTTTCTCCTATTTTCATGATATTTTTTACACCGGGGATCAAACTGGGAACATTGTGCTAGTGAGGCAGGCATTGGCACCTCTGAGCTAAATCCTGGTCCTATTTTCATGATTTTTAAAAAATTAATATTTATAGTTTATTCCCTCCCTACAGCCAGGTGAGTGAACACAACCTTAGGGTGTTACTGTCTTCAGAGTGAAGGTGAAGCTCAGCACTGAGTCACATGGCCCCTCGTTTCTCCTCAGGCTCCATTCATTCAATCCTTAGCACAGTTTTCTGTGTGATTTTAGCTTTTTTTCTGGAAAGTGGGCTTTTGCCCTCTCCTTCCCCTAACATTCACCTTCTGGCATGTGCCACTTCTGGGCACAGAGTTGTCCTCACTCTTTGTACCATGTCACCTCGTGGATTGGTACTTGCCACCCTCCTTCCAGCAGGTCCAGTGGGCTTTAGGAACATTTACCATGTTTGTATCAGCACAATTAGCATAAGAATAATGTCCTTAGACAAGATGTATGTTATTTACATTTAATAAATTAGAGACAAATTTTCATGGGCTTTGATGCCTGTCACTGGGCCTAAGAAAAATCTAAGATAATGCTGTCCATGTAAGCTGTCAGAATGTGTTTATTTCTAAGAAGATAGACTATATTTTGGTGAATTGCTTATAGAACAGGAAAAATGATGCCAGTTGATGGGAGAGCTTTCAGGTGTGAGCTTCTGGCAGTAGGTCATCATTGTGTCTAGCACCTTACCCACATCAACTTTTCCCTGTGCAGAGTCTCTGGCACCTCTCATTATTCTGGGCCTGTGTTCTCTTGGAACTCAGGGTTCCTGCTCACCTAAACTTCACATTTGTTGGCCTCTGTACTGCTGCTGCCTAAATACTGTTCTTTTAGTTGGGAGTAGTAGAAGAGAGAGAAGACCAAGGGGCATGCTGATTTAGCAAAGGGATTTTTTTTCTTTTCTCTTTTGACACAGGGTCTTGCTATGTAGTTCAGGCTGAGCTTGAGCTCACTGTGTAGCCCAGGATTGCCTTGAACTTGCAGTAATCCTCCCTCCTCAGCCTCTCAAATGCTGGGATTCCAGGTGTTTAACCACCATGCCTGGTTAGCAGAAGCATCTTGGATCTTGATGCTTGGCTAAATGTTAAGAATAATTTTCTTTTTTTCTTTATTTTTTTGGTGGGGGGTGGTACCTGGGATTGAACTCTGGACCTTGTGCTTATAAGGCAGGCGGCAACACCACTGAGCTAAATCTTTGGCCCCTGCTAAGTATTTTCAGGGCAGGTTGGTGTAATTACCCTTGGTCCTGCTAATTTTAAATATCAGACGAATCAAAACCAGATGGAGAAAGTCTGTAGGAAGCCTAAATACTTCTCAATCTGTAGGCTCTTTAGCCCCAGAAGAATACACTAATTGCTATTCAAAATCCAGCCTCACTCATAAGTTTTGTGCTTCTGTGTCTCTTAAGATTCTTTATTGTAAATACTGAAAGCATGATCAGAAAGAGCTATGAAGAGAATATTTGTAACATGGTAGTTCCAGCAAATGTATCAGAATGTAGAATACACAGAAAGGAAATAGAGATGTCAGATGCATATTCATATTCCAAAAAATTGGATTTTATGCAAAAGTTTTTCTGTTTGGGTCTGTTCTGCAGTTATCTGTTTGCAAAGAACTTCAGCTGCCACCTAGTGACTTCCCCTGGAGCGCTGACCTGGTGGCTGTTTCTTACTCTGCCACCTCAGGAGAAGCACATTCTGTTCAGGTAGGTGACTTAAAAGCTTATTGAAATAAACTTTTCAAAATAAAAATATTCTACATTGGAGGAAACACCCAAGCCAATTTTGAAACATAACTAAAGCTACAGAAAAAAAAGCTCCATGTCACTGACAGAGTTGGACACATGGGTATGTGGGACAGAACAAAGTCTCATTTACAGGCCCATAGAAGTTGGCCAGTGGTCTTCAACAGGTGCAGAAGCTCTTTAGGGGAGAAAGGATGGTTTTTTCAGTAAATGGTGTTAGAACAATTGGTCATCTGTAATTTTTTAAAATTGAATATCCCTCTAAACGTCATACCTACTACACAGATTAACTCGAAATGGATCATAGCTCTGAATGTAAAATTGTAAAAATTTTAGAAGAAAACAAGAGAAAAGTTGTCATAAGGTAATGTTAGGCAGAGCTCTTAGAAATCACCAAATCATGATTCATAAAAGAAAAAAATTGATAAAATTAATATTAAAGTTAAAATAAGATCAAAATTGAAAACTTTGAGACACAAACCAGATCACACAGTAGGAGGTGATTGGTGGGCAAATGAAGTGTCGTCTGTATTTACAGCCAGCTCCCCTTCCTTATCCCCAAGCCCCCTCCTGTCAGATCAGCGACAGCATAGATTTTTACAGGAGCAAGAACCCTACTGTGACCTGCGCACGTGGCAGATCAAGGTTGCATGTTCCTTATGAGAATTTGATCACCAAACCACCCTCCGCCAAGCCCTGGAAAAAATTAGCTTCCATGAAAGTTGTACCTGGTGGTAGAAAGGTTGGAAACCACTGTTTGCAAGGAAGTGCTGATGTCTGCATGATCTGAAGGATCACAGATACAGTAAGCCAAGTTAAAGGCCAGCATCAGTGGTTATTTTTTGTATGGTCTCATTGTTTGATGTTCTCAAAGAGACAGAAAAACACTGGTAGAAACAGTGGCTGAGTTAGGATGAAGAAAGGTATGTGACTGTCAAGGGATAATATAATTACTGGGAAGTTTTGAGGGAAATTGATCTTTCTTGAGGTTAGTTACGCTAATCCGTGCATCAGAATTCACAGACGTGTTCAACCATGGAAACACCAGTGTCACTGTTTGATTATTATATTATACTGTGTTGTGTTGTGTTTTTTTGTTTTTTGCCATGCCCGAAATAGAATTTAGGACCTTGTGCTGGAGAAGCAGGCACAGTACCACTGAGCTAAATCCCTGGCCCTATTTTGGTTTTTTGAGACAGGCATTTACTATGTAGTTCAGGCTGGCCTTGAGCTCACAATGATTCTCCTGCCTTAGTCTCCCAAGTGCTGGGATTACAGGCGTGTACCACCGTGCCTGGGCATGTTTGATAATTTAAAAACTATAGTTTTAAAGAGTTCTTTTTTTTTTGGTATCAGGGTTCAAACACGGGTCCTTGCGCTTGTGAGGCAGGTGTCAGAACCGCTGAGCTAAATTCCTGACCCAAGAGTTCTATTTCTGATTTTGTCAGTGTCATAGACTCACAGGGTTGAGGCCTTTTGTTGATTGCTTACTATGCTGTGGTTTTGTTTCAAGGCTGTTGCTGTCATGGTTGCCACCCGAGAAGGGTCCATTCGCTACTGGCCAAGCCTTGCTGGGGAGGACACCTACACAGAGACGTTTGTGGACTTGGGGGGTGACAGAATGTGCAGATTCCTAACAGCAGTGCAGGTATGTGGCAGATATTCCTACATACTAATGGGAAAGCTGTGACTTGGATTGGTAGTGAAGTTTGAATGACCAGAAATGTGGGTTCTGAATGGTTGTATAGACTGGGAATGACCAGCAGGAGACAAGAAGAAGAATGTGAGGGCCTGCAATTTGAACTATACTAGTGATGGTGAACCTTTTAGAAAGCAGCTATACCAGTTAGGTGGTAAACTGTAACCCTAAACTCATTTACTTAGAGCAAAATGCCAACACTACAATTAAACCTGCGTGCTTGGCTGCTGGGGCAATGCTAGGGCAACTTGGCTCTCATTCTGACAGAAAGGCCTCTGCATGCCTGCTGTAGCACACGTACCATAGGTTCACTATCACTTGTCTAGACAAAGGGGGCCCCTGCATGGTATGAGGAACCCCAGCCATGAGTCTCAAACTCCTGCAAGTCAACATGACGCAAGTGAGAAAGTGAGAAAGAACAAAAGAAAGATGCAGAAGCAAGAGTTGAAGACAAATCTGGGTCTGGGCTCAGCTTACGCTGCTCTGACTTCCAGTATGTATTGATTACGAGTGTGGGAAGAGGGAGTGCAGGGTATTCATGAGACATCTGGTAATAATATGTGAGGCATCTGGTAGAGCTATAAAAAGGGAGACACTACTTTCTTGCAGGAGAGAACAAAAGGGGACTAGGCCTGGGTCATAAGTAACCAGCGACCCATCAGGTCAGTAAGGGAAGCTGTAATTCAGGGAAAAGAATTTAATTGGGGTCAAGCTGACTTCAGCTGGAAGTTAACTCAACAGGCCCTGCAACTTCACAGACCAGGACTTAGGTCTCCACAGCAGCCACTGGCAGAGGAGCTCTGTTTGAGCAGCTGTGCCATCTAATGTGCCCATGTGAATCATGTAGGCTTTGGTCAGACTTCTAATATAATGCAGCCTAAAGAAGCGGAAGCAAGAAGCTGGTGCTATTGCAGCCTGCTGGTCCTGGGCAGGGATGTCTGCTACAGCGTGGGACTCCAGAATGTCATTATCAGCTGGTAACAAGTGCTGCTCATTTGTTTTAGAAACGTTTTATGAGTAGTTAAGAAACTCAGGCACTATGCAAGATGAGCACTTGTGTCATTCTGCAGGTTTACCAAAGAAATAAAATATGACTTGTTGAACCTGCAATATGATGAACTTCAATTTAAAAATCAGAATTTTTAAAAAATTAACTTTTTAAGCTACAAGAGTTTTTCTGTGTAGAATTAATTATGCCAAGTTAGATTGTGAGGTAGATTATTTTAATTAAATAACATGGTGCCTTTTTATTCTTTTAGAATTAAGGTGGGGATGGTTTTTCTCTGTAACAAAGAAAACATGTCTTGTTACTTTTCTTTGTCTTAGTGTTAGGTGCTTAACTGAACTAATCTCAACAGTGTTTCTCCATAGGGAGGATGTTTTATATTGGCCTCAGCGGGAAGTCAACTAATTCGGTTGATACCTGAAAGCTCTGGAAGGATTTATCAGCATGTCCTGCCACAGGGCCAAGGCATGCTGTCAGGAATTGGTCGAAAGGTTTCTTCCCTTTTTGGAATTTTGTCTCCTAGTAGTGATCTCATGGTGAGTTTGTGAAATACTTGTTTTATAAGCTTATTTCTTAGTTAAATCTGTAAGTTGATAGTTTCCTATGAAATTATTGCATCCATCTGAAATAAAACTATACCATAAAATTTAATGTGTTGATGAAGAATTAATTTGGCTTTTTAAAAAGGCTTGACTTGAAGTGTGTCTTCTCTCCTTTGCCTCCAACTATCGGTGTGGATGGCATATCTGGACCTGGGGCTGGTATTGCTTGTGCTCAGCTGAGAGCAAGGAGGATGATGGGAACTGATGGGAACTTTATGGAGTGCCCTGCTAGGTGCTCTGTGTCTCTTGTGTAACCACTCTGGTAACTGTAAAGCAGAAACTTTCCCTGCAGTTTTCTGCTGTGGAAGCAGCCTAGAGGAGGCTGAGGTTGCTTGGCTGCTCAGTGCAAGAGTAGAAATCATGCCCAGCCTGTCTGTATCTGAAGCACAGCTTTTTTTTCTTTGAAGTAAAACATTTATTGGTACATTTTAGATATGCATAATGATAAAATTCATCATAGGGAATTTGTACTACTGCACATGATATATCTTGCTGCTTCTTTTTTCCCATTTCCCTCTCCTTTTAACCCTTCTTCCCCTCCTTATATATGAGCTTTGTTTATATTTTTCCCTTCTATTTTCTTGTCCTTTCTTTCCCTTCCCGTCCTCCCTTGTTCCCCTTCTCATTTGAACATTTTCTTCCCATTTCCCAATGTGTATTATACATTTTAGTTTATATTTCCACTTTTAATTTTATACCAGAGAGACAATGCAGTATTTGAATGTGTGCAATATTTGAATGTGTGTGTCCAATTTATTTCACTTCAGAGTATGTTCTCAAGGTGCTTGCATTTAGCTTCTTTTTTGGGGGTACCGGGGGTTGAACTTGGGTCCTTGTGCTTGTGAGGCAGGTGGCAGAACCACTGAGCTAAATCCCCAGCCCTCCATTTATCTATAAATGTCTTAAGCTCGTCCTTCTTTATAGCAGAGTAGTACTCCATTGTATAAAAAAACCACATCTTTATCTGTCCATCAGCTAATGGATATTTGGGCACTAGGCTGTTTCTTTCTTATTTCAGGCAGGTCTTGTCATCTGCTTCTTTAATTTTCTGTGACCCTAAAGCTTATCATGTCTAACAAATGTATCATATTCTTCCTTCTCTCCTATGGTCTAGACACTTTACAAAGTTTGTCTTGCTTCTGACTGCTTTCTGTCATTGCTTTCTTTAGCGATCCAGTAATAGAGCCCTGATACTCCTTGTGCATTTCTTTCTCTCCAACAGCTTGCAGGTGTTCTCTGGGACAGAAGAAGGTCGAGCTTCTACAGCCTGACAAGCTCAAATGTCAATAAATGGGAATTGGATGATTCCTCAGAAAAGCTAACATACAGTTGGGATTTACACAGAGTTCTGAAGGAAAATATAACTGATGCTATTTGGGTGAGGACCAGTAACATTCATCTCTGATTCACATTGTCGATTGTATGATGCTTGTTCCTTGTTTATTCTAACACATTTTTTTTTTTTGAGACAGGGTCTCACTATGTTGTTGAGACTGACTTGGAACTCACTATGTAGCCCAGGCTGGTTTCAAACTCACAGCGATCCTCCTGCCTCAGCCTCCTGAGTGCTGGGATTACAGGCGTGCGCCACCACGCCCAGCTTATTCTAACACATTTAAATGGATAGACAGTGCACAGCCATCACAGAGCAGATGTGGGATGTTCAGTCCTAGCTGTATTGGAGCTCACTGATTTTTTGCTTAACAATTTTCTATCAGGTGTATGCTTTTCTCCTTCAGACATGCAAGAGCCACCATAGATGTGGAACTTCATCAAGTTCTGGGGATACACAGGCGGGAAGAAAGACTTCTATGCTCGGGACCTCACTTTTTTATTTTTCCATTTAGGGATCTGAGAGTAACTATGAAATTATTAAAGAAGGGGTCAACATTCAGTATTTGGACTTGAAGCAAAATTGGTAAGCAATTATTGTTTTGTCCTAAAGAGGTGAGATTAGATATCAGTTTAGAAAATAAGTTTATCTCTAAGGTAAAATGATGAGCAAGCTTGTTGTCTGCTCTTCTGGTGCTAATCTTTTCATACTGTTAAGCCAGTGGCCTTGTTCTTCTTTATCTAGCCATGCTAGTTCACTTGGCAATGGGAGCATGTCTCAGTCTTGAATGGTATGTTCTTTTCTTGGTTTTCTTCCTGTGAGAGCCCCAGCCAAGCAGCTTATCTTCACATTGTCCGCAGGCAACACTGAGAGTCCATCCTTCCAGCCCTGTGGGTACCTGAGCTAAGGTCTGTCTTGCTTTCCTTGGAGACAGCTGCTCCTTGTCTCAGGTGCCCTTTCTGTTGCTGAATGAGCTCTAGAAAGCCTGTAGTTTGTGGTGGCTAAGCTACAAGGAGAAAGAATGGGTGAGGTTTTGTCTTTGTAGACAAGTTAGAACTAATCATGGTTTACGCTCAGAGGGTGTTTCTTTTTAGAAAAGTGGTATGTACGAGTCCAGGTTAGTTTAATAAAGTTTTTACCCTGATAAAGGTCACATGTACTTTAAAAAACATTCATAGCCTGGCTACCATGAGGATGCTCATGAGTCCAGTGTGACAGTTTACAGTGGCTCCTACTTTGCTTTTGCCATACTGGGACATATATTGCATGCTCCATGGGTTATGGGATTGTCGTCCTGCTGTGTCATTCTCTTGGGCTGTTGAGACTGTTAGTATGCCTCTTCCTACATTTTTAAAACCTTACAAAAGCTGCCAAGGAAGTAAAAATAATAGTGTTCGCTTACTTATGCAAGCATTTTGCTTAGATGCAGTTTGCCTGATTCCATTTGTCAGACTTTTAGAAACAAGACTGCTGCTCAGATGTTGCCCATTGTGGGCCTCAGTTTTCAGATTTGGAGGCAGATTGAGGGTGGACAAGAGACACTCAGGAATGCTGCCCTGGGTCTCCTGTCTTCAGTGTCACCTGTGTAGCAGGCAGCAGTTGTTTATGCTAGAGAGAGTGATGCAGGCATTCCACAGAATGCCTGTGTGCTCTGAACAGAGCTTAGACTTTTCTTTTTTCTTGACTAGTGATGGGCTCCTAATTTTGGCAGCAGCATGGCATCCGGCAGATAGTCCTTGCCTCGTCTATTACTCTCTGATAACAGTGGAAGATAATGGCTGCCAGGTGTCAGATGCAGTTACTGTGGAAGTCACTCAGCATAACCCACCTTTTCAGGTAAGTTAAATTGCAAGGTGGCTAACATATAAAGTTGTTTGGTTTTTTTTCCCCCTGAGGTTTATCTTCGGGGCTTAGAAATAGTTTAAGGTAGATTGCTTTCTGGTTTTGCTGTTTCATTCATTCCCTTGCCCAGACTTAGTTCTAAAGAGCTAAGCCTCATGCAGTCTGTTTCTACTGCTGTTACTCTGGGGCGGAATTGTCATTTCTGTATTGAATATAAGTATAGGAAATTTTGGTGAAAAGCTGAAAGATAAAAGTAAGGAAGATGCCTGCTGGGAGTTGGGGTTCACTTTTGAACCTGACATTAGAAAAATCCCCGTGTGCCCAAGGAATTGTATGTAGGCAACCACAGTGTATCTCATCAGTGTTCTGTGTGCATCTCACTGATGGAGCTGTTCCTGAGCTCTGACATGCGCGAGGGAGAGTCTGGACAGCTCTTTGTCATTTCATTTAACTTCGTGTGTTGTCTAATTCTGTTAAGTCCTGTTCTCAATATGGCTCATTTCACTGAATCCCATAAGCAAATCTTGATTTATTCTTTTATTTCAAGTGGAATTAAACCTTACCGAGTGTTTGAATTGTAAAAGAAAAATATACTCAGTACAGGAAAAATTTTTCAGAAAGTGTAGAGGGGTATAAAGAAAACAATGTGAAAAAAAATATGAGAATGTCATTTAATGTACGTATTTCTATTTCTTCCACTGATTTACATGTGGAAAAAATTTACTGGTTTGTTTTATTTTTGTGCTTGGTATCTTTTGGTGTTGGGTATTGAATCTAGGACCTCCCATGTGCTAAGCATAAGCTTGTGTTTGATATCTTGACAGTATAGTAGAATACAGAATCAAAAAGCTTATCAGTGATGATAAATGTTTGCCAATTTTAAGATAAATAATGAATGAAAGTTTTCTCTTCATTTCTTACATTTGATTTGGGTGTCTAGTTATAATCTAACACTAGGCATATATTTTCAAGACTTGCTGTTATTTGCAACTCAACAAATTATTTTTTCATTTCTTTTATGAGTATTTTTTTAAGTACAGTAATTACATTTATTATGGGAAGTTTGTACATGTACATAACGCATCTCAATTCTTTTTTGTTCTTTTTCCCCTCTCATCTCTCCCTGTTCCCTCTAACTCTTGAACCCCTTCCCATATGAAAAGGCTCTATTTCCTTTTTTTCTTCAGGTCTTTCTAAAATCCTTTTTTCTTTTCTTCCCTACTCTCTGCATATTCCCCTTCCCATTTGAAAAAGATTGTTCTGCTTCCTGCTATCTGTACTTTATTTTGCTCTTTATTTGTTTTTTGGGTTTCTCATATAAGAGAAACTATGTGATATTTAAACTTGTGTCTTATTTATTTCACTTCACATTATGGTCTTGAGGTGCATCCATTTTCCTACAAATGACTCAGGTTTATCCTTCTTTATGGCAGAGTAGTACTCTTTAAATGACATATTTTCTTTATCCATTCACTTGTTGATGGGCATATAGGCTGTTTCCAATTGTGGCGATTATAAATTATGCTGCTATAAACACAGATATGTCTGTATCACTATAATGTAATGACTTTAACTCTTTCAGGAAGATTACTAGAAGGGTACTAGCTCAGTCAAATGGAATTTCTAGTTTTAGTTTTTTGAGGGATTTTCATAGTGGTTGTTTAGATTCCCACCAAAATATAGAAGGTTCCTTTTTCCTTGTAGCCTCTCCAGCATTTGTTATTACTTTATTTTGTAATGATAGCCATTGTTTCTGGAGGAAGGTGACATCTCAATATTGTTTTAATTTTGATTTCTTTAATGCCCAGTGGTGTTGAACATTTTTTCATGTTTTTATTGGCCATGTGTACTTCTGCAAAGTATCCATTTCAGATGCCCATCTTTTGATTAGGTCTTTTATTTTGGGAGGTCTGATTTTTTTTTTTTAATTCTTTGTATATTCTAGATGTTAGTCCTCTGTCTGAGGAATAGCTGGCAAAAATTTTTTTCCCATTCTGCAGGCTCTCTCTTCACCTGTTGGGTGTTTCCTTTGTTGTGCAAAAATTTTTTAATTTGGTATGATCCCATTTTGTTGAATCCTGGTGTTATTTCTTGTGTCATTGGGGTTCTGTTCAGAAAGTCCTTGCTTACAGCTGTGTCTTCAAGAGTTGTACCTATTTTATCTTCCAGCAGATTAAGTATTTCTGTTTTAACATTTAGGTCTTTGATCCATTTTGATTTTTGTTTAGTACGTGGTAAAACACATAGGTCTAGAATTAAATCTATTTGTGGATATTCAGTTTTCAGCACCATTTGTGAAGGACACTTTCTTCCATTGCATGTTTTTGGCCCCTTTGGTGATGATCAAATAGTTTAATGTATCTGGGGTTGTTTCTGCTTTCTGTATTCTGTTCCATTGACCCATCTTTCTGTTTTTGTGATAGTACCATGCTGTTTTTATCACTGTAGCTTTGTAATATGACTTATAATCTAGGATCATGATGCCTCCTACTTTGCTATTGTTACCCAGAATTGCTTTTGCTCTTCTGGGTCTTTTCTATTTTCATATGAATTTTTGGATTGTTTTCTCTAGATTCATGAAGAGTACTGTTGGTATTTTGATTGAAATTACATTAAATCTATATATCAGTTTTGGCAGGTCTGTAGCTATTTTGACTATATTGGTTCTGCCTATCCAGGAACATGGGATATCTAACAAATGATTTTTCTAATTGATGTTCATCTTAGTCAATTTAGGATATTTATAAATACCTGAGATGGGTAATTAATTAACAGTGTTAATTCACACAGTTCTGGAGGCTAGAAGTCTAAGATCAAGGCACCAGCAGGTTTAGTACTGGTTTTCACAGAAAGCGCCTTCTAGCTGCAGCCTCACATGGGGAGGGGCAAAAAGGTTTGCTCGCCTGTTTTACATGGGGTCTAATCCCATCCATTAGGGCAGAGCCCTGATGACCTAATCACACCCCTCTGCCCCCACAATACCATCGCTATGAGGTAGGTTTCAACATGAGAATCTCGGGGGAACACAGTTCTTCAGACCATAGCAGCTTCTGTAAACTGATTGTATCATGGGCAATGTTTAGATTTTCATGAGGAGAATCAGTGAATTAACATTTTATCCTTTTTATGGGATAGTATATAAAAATATGATTATAAAATCATACAAGCAGTTTTGTTTCCATTCTCACTAAATATAATTCTAATTTTAACTTTCAGTCTGAAGACCTGATTATGTGTCGATTGATGGTCCCTGACTTCTCGAACCAGATTGCCTGTCTGTACACTGAAAGTGCCATCTATGTATGCTCCACAGGAACTGGGAAATTTTCTCTTCCTCAGGAGAAAATTGTCTTCAATGCACAAGGTACGGTAGCAGTTTTAGAAAGCATGGTCGGGGAGCTCACTGGTCAATCTCTTTCCATACCTGTGGCTTCAGGCATGACATCTTCAAGCATCTAATACCACGTAGGCAGCAGCTGATGTCACAGCCCTACTGAGAAGTCAAAATGATGATAGATTCCCAAACATTTATATTTATGGGCAAAAATAATAACATTTTCCCTTGTGAGGAAACAAAAACAAAAATGATATTAAGAGAAGTAATTGCTTATCCTGCCTGATTAGTTTCTGAATTGATATTCATTCTATAAACCAGTTTTTCCAGAACCTGCAAAAGGAGTCCAGGTGCAGACTTAGGCATGGCTGAAGTTGGGGGCTAGGCAGGAATGTAGAGAAGCCAGGTGAATAATTAGGGTATTTATCTAAGGGATTGCACAGAGGACAGTTGGGAAAGGAGCTGTGTGTTTCTTGTCGCAGGCCAAGAGCCTGAAGGACAGATGGGTAAGACGTTACCAAGTTGCTCAGCAAGCGTAGGCACCTTGCCCCCTGGCTGACCTAGTAGGCACAATCAATTTAGGAAAAAGATGCTGCAGGATTGGAAAAGCTGCTATTGTGAGTCATGCAGGATAAAGATTTTCTCTAAAGGTTTGCTGTACTCCCTGCTGTCTTGAAAGAACAGCTTTTCTTGTCTTTAAAAAGTAGTAGGACACAGAGTCTGCTTCATATAGCAGCAGGTACTTGATTTGATTCTGGAATTTAAAAGCTGAGTAATACTGTAAAGGAAAAAAGTACTGTAAAGGAAAAAGTCATGACTTTTCTGCTCAGGATAGTAGATTTCAGAAAGATGTATTTGTTTTCTTTCTAGGAGATGGCATTTTGGGGGCTGGCTCCTGTGGCAGTGTTCCCATCCTCTTCTCTAGAAACAGTGGCTTAGTGTCCATCACATCAAGGGAAAGTGTATCCCTCCTAGCAGAAGACATGGAGGAGTCCTTGGCCTCTTCAGTCGCTGGACCAGGCAATGAGGTTGAGTGATTTCTTAAGATGTTTTAACTTTTTTTTTTGGTTCGTTTTGTTTTGTTTTGTACCAGGGATTGAACTCAGGACCTTGCGCTTGCAAGGTAGGCAGCGGAACCACTGAGCTAAATCCCTAGCTTAACTTTTGTTTTTATAAGACTATTTCACACAAATGTTTCACATAAGCCAGTTTATAAAGATTTGGGAAGAAAACATTCCTTTATTTGGTACTGAGGATCTATCTCAGAACCTTGCGCTTGTGAGGCAAGTGCAGTACCATTAAGCTAAATCTCTAACCTTTTTTTTTTTTTTTTTTTTTTTTATAGTACTAGGTTTTGAACTCAGGGCCTTTGCACTGAGCTACATCCCAAGCCCTTCTTTAAAATTTCGAGACAGAATCTTACAAAGTCGTTCTCCGGACTGAGCTAAACTTGTGATCCTCCTGCCTCAGTCTCCTGGTGTGCTAAGATTATAGGCATGCAGCACTGTGCCCATCAAAAAACATTAATTCTTTTATCTCCCTCATTCCTATGTCCTCTTTCCCAGAACAGCTGCTTTTAAGTCTCTTAGTTGTTCCTTCAGTTATTTTCCTCTGCATTTCTGAACAATATTTGCATATTGCTATCTCCCGAGTTACCAATTTTAGAAGATGAAGGTTTGGGGTAACTTATATTCCTTTGCCTGTCTTTGCCATACCAATATAAATGTTTTATTTATTTATTTTTTTTATTTTTTATTTTTTTTGGTACTCTGGAATCGAACTCGGGTCCTTGTGCTTGTAAGGCAGGTGGAAATGTTCCCTATTATAATGATAATTTGAATATTTTTTTGGTTTGCTGAGTCTAGTAATGTACTGATTGCATTTCCTACGTCACAGTTGACTTCTTCTGATTGTTGGAGTATATGACATACTTAGCTCATTTTCCTTTAATGTCTGAGTTTGTCATCCCACATCCTTCAGTGACTCTGAAAGATGCTTCTCAGTGTGGTTCTTCCTGTGGTTGGATCTCAGGAAACTGCATCTGAATAGTTGTGCCCTGAAGCCTTCCTTCTGCGCTGTCCTTAACCCCTCAGGGCCTGTCCATCTGTAACTAAGATCTCCCTTCTTTGTCCTTCCCTCCTGTCTCCTCCCTGCACTATTTTAGTCCCTCCTGTCCCCTCCCCTCCCATCTCAGTCTCTCTGCTGTTGAGGAGTGAACCCAGGGCCACAGCCCTTTTTATTTCATGAGTCAAGGGCTTGCTAAGTTGCTCAAGGTGGGCTCAAACTTGTGATCCTCTGCCTCAGCATCCCACAGTGCTGAGATTATAGATATGTACCTCTGTGCCTGGCTTTTTATTTTCATTTTTTAACCTTTTACTGGAGTCTAGAAATAATACTGTTTGGAGTATGTTCCATTTTAAATAGTATGTGATATAGTATATTTTTGTAATTCAGAGTTAAGTGACTTGCAACCAAGTATGGTGGCACATGCCTGTAATTCTAGCCCTTGGGAGGCTGAGACAGGAGGAGCACTGTGAGTTCAAGACCAGTCTGAGCTACATAAAGTGACTTGGTACAATTTCTACAGAAAGTAAAGTTTTTAAACTTAGTTTTATAATTATGTGGTTATATTGAAATACTATAGTGTGTTTTGAAACTACCTTACAATATTCCATTTCTTTTTAAGTTTTTCTGAATCCTTGTTTAATCTTGTAATCACCTACATGCTTAATAGTATACATTGTGATGAGCTGTATAAGTGCAAATCTGTGAAAGATGTATTGGTCATGATGAAATCTTCAATTTGTGTGTGTGTGTGTGCACGCGCATTTGTTTGTTTGTTTGTTTGTTGGCAGAACTGAGGATTAAATCCTGCACCTCCAACCCTTTTTATTTTTTATTTTGAGACGGTCTCACTAAGTTGCCCAGACTGGCCTTGAACTTCTGATCCTCTTGTTCTAGTCTCCTGGGTAGCCGGAATTGCTGGCCTTACTCAGAATTTTGAGTTATCCACCTTTGGGGCTTTGATTAATTGTTAAGTTCTGTTTGTCATGTTCAGTAAATGCCTGGGCATATAAACAAGTTTGTTAGATGATTTAGTAACAGTTTGTATGTGTTATTGTCCTGTTGTAGGATAGGTCCAGTTCATTCTGGAACAATTAGGAATGTTTTGATTCTTTGACCTGTAAACTATAACTTGTTTCTTTGCAGAGTATGGTGTTTGAGACCACCACAAAGAATGAAACCATAGCACAGGAAGATAAAACAAAACTACTGAAAGCTGCCTTTCTGCACTACTGTAGGTATGGCCTATCTTTAAGATCAGGGTTTGCGACATGACTGGAATATCTTCTACTGACACATGCTGCAGGTTGAGCGACAGGACGAGCAAGTTGGAAGAGTGATACTACCAAGAGGAGCAGGCTTTTCTGCACATTGGTGACTTCATGAACAGTTACTCTAAACTTTTGAGCTTGGCTGGGAAAGCTTCTGATCTAACTGAAAGGGGTTTCGCGTGCCCCTTCCCAATTAGGCCACTCACGCACCGAGAGGTCTGGCAGGAGATCTTTATTGTAGGGAGGCGAGCAGGAGGCAGGAAGGCAGAGAGAGAGAGAGAGAGGAGGAAGAAGAAGCAGAAGGAGAGAGAAGAACAAAAAAACGAAGGTCCTTTTATCAGTTTTGGGGTGGGCTATTGCTTATTTATGAGGAGTGAGTTACTTTTAACCTATCACAGGCCAAATTGCTTTTATGGGCCCAGTCCTGCAGACACAGGTTTCAAGTTTCCTGGACCACTGTGGCCTTGGTGGGGACGGAAACCAGAGATAAGGGCATGAGGTCATTTTAGGAGCCAAGATATACAGGAGAATGCAGCCTGTGAGGCGGCATCACAGCATACTTTAACATGATCAATTCCCTAACACTAACTCATGCTGCACTTTGTGGAAAGCAATGAACCATTGAAGCTGGCAGTCTTGAGGCTGGGTTGCAAGGTCTTTTGTGCATGATAAGCAGTTAAATCTCAGGGCAGTTTTATCATAGTTATGAAAGAACTTAGCAATTTACTGGCTTGTTAGTTGAGTTTTCCTACATACAAATCACTGTAAAACTTAGTGGCCCCTAAGTTTTGTGGCTTAGGTGCCCTGGTTTGGCTGTTTGAGACTGGGCTTGGGTGGCAGTTGGACCAATCCCATCTGGACTTGCTCATAGTGGCCAGGAGTGAGGCTGGCTGTTTTTGGATGGGCTCACGCATGTTTGCAGGGCCTGGGCTGGCCAGCACACTGGTGGCCTCTCACGAGCATGTTGACATTTGAGGCAGGTGCTTGCTTGCTGCGGGAATGTCCTGTGAACTTCAGGCTGTTGAGCAGCATCACTGGCCTCTTCCCACTGGCCAGCAGCACCTTTCCCTCTTCCCCTTCATCTGCAGACATGGCCAAGTGGCCCTGAGAGTCAAATTAGTAGATATACTTTTCTTTGTTTTTATGGTACTGGGAATCAAACTTGGGTCTTTGTGATTGCAAGGCTGGCGGCAGAACCATTAAGCTAAATCCTCAGCCCAGTAGATACACTCTTAAGTTCTGTGCATTTGATGTTTGTTTTTGGGTTTTTTTTGGTACCGGGGATTGAACTCAGGTCCTTGCGCTTGCAAGGCAGGCCACCGAACCGCTGAGCTAAATCCCCAGTCACCCCCCCCTTTTTTTTTTTGCTAAAGTACTATTCCTGCTTTTATAGCATGTTTTCTTTAAAGTTACCTTTTGTATTATTTTGCTTTTGATTTGCATTAACTCAAAAAATATAATTGAAAATCTTTTGTCTGTCAGTCTAGGGAAACTCACCCTTTGCCCTGTCACCTTTCTATTCCCATAACCAGTAGTGCAACTAGGTTACCTGCTTCATCCTGACCGTTCATTCTTTTCATTTATTTATTTTTTTGTGGAACTGGGGATCAAACTCAGGACCTTGCGCTTGCCAGGCTGGTGTGGTGCCACTGAACTAAATCCTTGACCCCTGACCGTTCATGCTTTTAGGAATTTTTCTGTACTTTCTCATGGGGTCTGTCTTACCAAGAGATCACTTCAGACGTTTTCTGGTCATTTCCAGCCCCTTCTTTCAAACTTACTTCCCACAGACTTGTCACTCCATTGTCTGAGAGGCTACCTGAGCTTGTTCACAGAATGGAGGGTACAGAGTGCCTCAGGGCATTGGAAGCTTGAGTCTGCTCATTGAAGTTTGCTGGTATCCTTTTAGCCAGAGCAAGGCTCACCGGTGGGTCTACAGTGGGAGGGCACTTGTGGGTGAATTCAGATTTCAGTTTACCACTGCATATCACCTTCCTTAAATGAAATCACAATTGAATAATACTCAGGAAGCTTGTGATCCAGCCTCTCCACCCCACCACTACATGAGCTGTGTGAGACTGAACAGGTTACATAACACTCCTGGTACTCTGTTTCTTCCTTTACACTGAGTTGACTGGAGTAGTTAGCATGTTTTTATTTTTAAATACTCAAAATTACTGCCTCTATTTCCTCTAGTCCCCGGGTCATGAACCTATAACCTCGTTTGTGGTGGTATCTGACGCATAACGTTGTCATTGAAGGAATAACAGACTCTACAGTGCTTTCCTGGTTTTAAAATTATTTGCCAGTTGGTCCGGGGATTTAGCTCAGTGGTACCACCCCCTGCCTTGGAAGCACAAGGGCCTGAGTTGATCCCTGGTACCAAAAAAAAAAAAAAATTGCCACCTAATGATTTGCTGAGCTAATATCTTGTCCAGAAGAGGGTAACATTAGACAAGATTCTTTTTCTCTTTACTAAATAGTATTCTTATAATCTTGTTTTGTTGCATGGTTTATTTGAATTATTTATCTTGGGCAAGTTTATCATTCATTCATTCGTTCATTTTTGAGACAGCCTGTGTAGTTCAGGCTGGCCTTGAATTCACAACATAGCCCAGACTGGCCTTGAACTTGGGACAACTCTCCTGCTTCGACTGCCCAACTGCTGGGATCACAGGTGTGTGCTACCACGCCTGGCAAGTTTATCCTTTAATTGCAGTTCTATCAGATGTAAATGATGATGTAGTTAGTCAACATCGTCATTATGTTAGTTTCTTACGGCTGTCATACAAATTCCCCCAAAACTGGTGAATAATAGAAGAGTACAATATTATCTCATACTTCTGGAGGCCAGGAATCCAAAATCAAGGACCAGCAAAGCTGTGCTTCCTTGAAGGCCCTGGGGAAGAATACTTCAAGTTTCTCTCCTGGCTTCTCATGGTTGTTTGGCTTAGGGGCCCATCATTCCATTTCTGCCACCATTGTCTCGTGGTGTCATCCCAGTGTAGCCATCTGCACATGACCTTCTTAAAGGACACCATTATTGGATTTAGGGCCTACCCTAATCCTAATTTTTTTGTTTTGTTTTGTTTGTTACTGGGGATAAAACTCAGGACTTTGCACTTGCGAGGCAGGCAGAGGAACCACTGAGCTAAATACCCAGCCCCCTAATCCTAATCTTAAATCTGTAGAAGTCTTACTCGTATTCACATTCTGAGGCTGTAGATATACATGTGTGGGGTTGTGGGAATACTGTCCATCCCAGTGCGGTCAGTATGAGATGTTCTGTGGGAGGATTACTAGGCACGGAGAGGGGTCCCTGATCTCAGCCCTGTGAGGAGGGAGCACGCTCCTCCCAGGGTGGTCAGTGTGAGGTATCCTGGAGGGTTACTAGGCATGGAAAGGGATCCCTGGCCTTAGCTGGGTTGTGTTCTTGTCCTCTAACAGGGCTACCGCCTAGGCCTGCTTGTGAACTTCACATGTGACCATTCTTAGGGCACTCAGCAAGGAATCCTAAAAAAGTTGATTCTTCTCAACAGAATTGCAGAGCAGTTAAATTGGAATTTTTCAACCAAGTTTTCTGTTTTCTCCTAATTAGGTTATTGCCCTCATATTTTATTTGCCATCTCACTTCCCTGGTACTTAATAGATTTAGGATGGTCTTTTGGAAGAAATCATGATACCTCCTCTTTGTTGCCACACCTTGGTGCCTGGGACCAAGTATAAACTCTTCAGTGTGGCTTACAGCACTGTGTTCTCTGATGTTTTGATTTGTCCCTTCTGAATGTGAGCCCTGCCTGGCCCCCTTGTTCTCATTGGTACCCTGGTTGTCCTGTAATGTCTCTGCCCAGTTTAGAAGAGAGTTTGCTCTTTAGGGATTTGCCTGTCCTTCAGATGATTGTTCTGGAAGCTTTTTTCCACACTCTTCTCTCCCTGAGCAGTCTCCACCTCCCACATGGCTGCACACCCTTCAGATAGCTTACTTGCTGACTGACAGGCTCATGTATTCCTTCCACATCCTCCAGTCTGTGGTAGGGCAGCCCCTCTGTGGCTCAGTAGTCCTCTTCTTCCCTATCCTGATACTTCTTACATGCGTGTATCACAGTTTGTTTAACTGACTCAGGAGTCCTGACACTGCCTACTTTCTGAAGCCCAATACTGATTTTGATGTCTTGTCCGTCATTCAGTGTCTAGGGCCTAGCATGTTCTAAGTATTCAGTATATTATTAATGACTACATAATAGTTTTTTCCCTTTTAATTGTTATTAACAATATTTTGGGCTAAAACCTCCACATGGGATTTTAATGCCACAGTTTTCTGGGATGTTTTGCTTCCTTTCATGGTTTTATTTTCTTTCTTTCTTTTTGTTTTGTTTTTTTTTTTTTTTTTTTTTGAGATAGGGTCTTGCTTTGTAGTACAGGCTGGCCTTGGACTCCTGATGTAGCCCAGGCTGGACTCAAACTTGCAATGATCCTCTTGCCTTAGCCTCCTACATGCTGGGATCATAGGTGTGCACCACCACTCCCAGCCTGTTTTCCAATTTTATTTCAGGAAAGATTTGGGCCATGCTCAAATGATGGTTGATGAGCTGTTTTCCCACTCCGACATGGATGCTGATACTGAACTAGACAGGGCTGTCACCCAGATCAGTGTCGACTTGATAGATGACTATCCAGCTTCTGATCCACGGTGGGCTGAATCTGTCCCTGAAGGTAAGATTTCAATTTTACTGAGTGGTGGAGGAATTTGTTTGAGAAAGATTTTCTTGTTCTTCATTCAGTGTGTCTCAAAGCACGTTAGTTAAAAGGCTATAACCCACATTTTAACCTATGTTAAAAGCACCCAGGTTAGATCTAGATAATAAAATAATGAGGAAATATTGGAGCAAATTTCAGTTATTCTTTCTGAGTTAGATTACTTTGGGTTCTCAGCATTTTACTTCTGAAAGGAACTTGATGTAGGTAGGCATTTGACACTTACTTGCCCCAAATTAAATAATTCTGGTATAATCATTGTATTTGGCTAATAGAATTCACATGTTGTCCAAGAGTAGCCGGAAACAAGTCCCAGTATAGAAGTGGCCACATCATGTCCTCCTGCCTGTCCCAGACAACCAGCCCTTACCTCTGTAACATCAAGGCCTCACTGCAGTTCCTGAGCTCCAGCAGGCTGGCACAAATGAACATTTCTTTTCTTAATGATCCTGCTTCAAGCAAGTCTGCTCAGCATCAATAGGAATGAGGGAAGAGAGCATCACTACCCACCTTTTTGGAATTATACAGTGACTAAACTAAATGTAGTACACTTTTTGACTTGAATAAATACAGTATGAATTGTATAATGCCCCTCCCCAAAGTTTTCTCTAAATTTTAAAACTCTTTAGCAATGTATATGTATACTGCTTTACTTAGCCAAGTGTGGTGGCCCATGCCTTAGTCCCAGCACTTGGGAAGCTGAGGCAGGCAGACCTCTGAATTCATAGCCAGCCTTGGCTACACAGCAGATTCAAGGATGGCCTGAACTACATAGTGAGACTCTGTCTCAAAATTTAAAAAAAGATTTTTAACTGATAAGATAGTATTCTTTTTTTAAATTCTCTTATTTTTTAAATTTACTAGCAGTAATTATAAAAGCAGATGTCGGGGTTTTATCTCTTAACAGAGGCCCCTGGGCTGAGCAACACCTCTCTGATCATTCTCCATCAGCTGGAAGACAAGATGAAAGCCCACTGTCTCCTCATGGACTTCCTTCACCAAGTAAGAGTGTGTTCTGGGTCCTGAGGCTGCAAGTGGATCTGTTGCTGCCTCTGGCGGTCTTTCTAGCCAATAGGGTGTCCCTGCTTTCCATCTGAGGTATTGCCTGGGCTGGGACCTGACTCATGGCCTTCATCTTCTGTGTCCAGGAAGGACAATTGAAATGGGCCAGAATACAATTGAAAGGGGCCAGAAATTTAGCTCAGTGGTTCTGCCTGCCTCACAAGCGTAGGGTCCTGAGTTTGAACCCTGGTACCCAAACAAACAAACAAACAAAATAAAATAATCTGTGAAAGAGGATACAGTTGAAAGAAAAAAAAAGTAGCGTATTTCAGTGTTTTTGTTTTTTGGGTTTTTTTGATACTGGGGATCGAACTTCAGACCTTGCACTTGCGAGGTAGGTGGTGGCACCACTGAGCTAAATACCCAGCCCTGAAACCTTTTTAAGAACAGTTTCATTTAGATTTTCTGTATGTGTTTATATAAAAACTTAGGGTTTCATAAATTGGTTTTATATGTTAGGAAGAAAGTGAAATTACTCAAAACGAAGTGCAACCAGTCCAGATGGAAGGGACAGAGAAACTCCTGATGGGTGGAAGGCAAAGTCACATTGTAAGAGGGTGTGCATGCTGGGGGTAGGGGTGCCAAACTTTGGGCACACCCATTTATCAGAGGCCGCAGCCGTCAAAGGCTTGGACCTGTGTCATCTTTTGGCCCAGCTTTGTCGTCCAGAGACCTTGTCAGAGTCTCAGCTGCTGGCACTGTCTACCAAGGTCTGAAAACCCCATTGTGGCTATGCCCTGAATGTTCAGATTTACATATATTCACAGTTGGGAAGCATTTGCATTAGTGGTTACTGAAACTTGTGTCACTGAATCATCTATCTAAGGAAAGACTTCTCAATGAAGGGCATTTGATATCCTCAAGCCAGTTAATCGGCAGCCAGGTGTATCCTTATTCTGAAGAGGGTAGGCAGTGATGGCGGTGCCTCAGAACTCTTGAATGCTTATTTCTGGTGAGGAGGGAGGAAGCTTGAGTGCCTTGTGTAGAGGGGTAGGAGGGGCGGTCAGCCTGGTTATCCTCTCTGTGTTTTTCTCAGCACACAGCTGAGCTTTAGAGCAGTCTGCATATAGGCTTTGGGAGGCCTTGCAGAAGAACAGTATCTAAGAGATTTTTTTTAAGGAGCCAGGAAGTGAATTCAAATCATAAAGACAGAAATGCTTAATTTTTTCAATTTTTATTTTTTATTAGTATATATTTACAGTATACAATTATTACATTCCTCATAGGGGGTTGGTAATGTACAGAACCCATTTTAACCCTCTTGGTCCCCTTCCCTTTTGTGAAAAATAATCAGGTGAACAGGTTGAATGAATTAAGACAGATTGATTCAGGAAAACATTTCATAGTCATTAAAAACAATATCAAAATGTTAAAAACAGTACCATCAAATTTAACAAGGTTCAAAAACATATCTGCAAGCATATAAATACTGCAGAAGCAGGTACATAAGTAAATTAGAGAAAACAGATTACTCATTAATGAAAAGAATTATATTTTAATGTAGAAAACATTATTTATGTTTTGTCTTAGTTGCTTCCTAGTTTCTGGTGCTATAATGTTTGATCAAATTAGAACACTTAGGAAAACTCCTAGACCATTGCTTATTGGCCTTTTGGCTAAGATCAAGTGTAGGAAAACTACACCATTGTGACTCACCAGAAATGGGTGTCATTAAATCAGAAGTAGGAGAAAGGAGTGCAGACTCTCTCTCTGTAAGACTTTTGGTTCTGAAATCAGCCATTGGGGATGGAGGCTGCTGAGTTTCTAGTACCTCAATGCCTGGAATACAGGCAAATTCACTGGTGTAGACAGAAAAGAACAATTTAGTTACTTTGATTACCACAAGCAGCAGTTAAGGAATTTGGTTAGGTAGAGGCAATAGCCATGGATAGAAACTATAGGGGAACCTTGACAGGAACAGCTTCACCTCCTGAGGGGTGTTACTGTGTGTGTGCTGAGAACAGCTGAGTAGAGAAAGCAGCTGCAGGCCTGTGGTGGGAGAGCCCAGGGCTGGAGGGGAAGGGCGTCACTGTTAGTTTGCATGTGGCTGTGAAAGCTTACTGAGCACATGTGTCTGTCTTCTGTGAGGTTGGCTTGTTTGGGCGCCTGGACACTTCTCCAGTCAGAGGGACACTGATGGCAACCCGGCTGCTTCTATGTGAGCATGCAGAAAAGCTGTCAGCCACCATCGCTCTCAAGAACCACCACTCACGGCTGCCAGACCTCGTGAATGCAGCCATTCTGATTGCTCTGAACAAGAGGGGGTGTGACATCCCGGGCAGCCTGACTCCCGCAGACGTCTTCTTTCGTGAGGTCAGACTCATAATCATTTGTGCTTTCCTGGAGCTTTCAGAGCTGGGCTGTGTGTTCATCATCGCCAGGCAGGTCAGAGAGAGGACAGACTAAATCTTGAAATTTGAAGTTGCCTTCTCTGTTTTCTGGATACTGTCACGGAGAAATGTCCCTCGTTTGTTACCTAGTCTATATACAGAGCCTGAGGTTTCCTTTGTCTCTCCACACGTCCTCTCTGGGCTCTGCCACAGGAAGCTGGCTGCCTTGTGGGCTCCTTGCTCTCTGGCCTCCTATGGGGTATGAGAAGTGCAGAAGGCAGAAGATGGAGTAGCCATTCTCCCAGCCATTCACTTACCTGGATCCATAGCACACTGGCTGTGTCCAATTCAGGGACCTGCTCCGTGTCCAGCCTTCTGCCTCTGCAGTCAATACCTATTTCCTCTCCATGCTCCTCCTACCTGGGCTGGCATGCTCACCCAGGAATACTTCTCCTTCCCACTGGGCCCATAGTCTTGTCCATGGCTCTGTGAGCAGCCCTTCCCCAGACCTCTCTTTGGCTCCCTGCTAAGGTTCTGCTTAGCCTCAGTTTCCAAGCCAGGTTCATTTTCAGAGGAGAAGGAGGCTCAGCTATAAACTTTGGAGGGAGAAAAAATTAAGATGTCAGCCAGCAGGTGGCAGCTGGACTTTGAGTTAGTAACATACTTCCTGCTTTTGTGTGGTGCCCCACAGCTTGGTGAGGTGGTGGAGCAGACTGTGTACCCTCAGAGAAGTGGTGATCAGGCTTGGTGACAGTTTTCTGGACTAAGTCTGTGGAGCCAAGTTCTCAGCCCACTCCTCAGCTCTGCTCTTGCATGTGCATAGCTCACTTCTGGAACTTGCAGTCCTTTAACTAGGGCTGTCTTGTTTCCCTTTGAGGTGTTGGTATCTGATTTAGACACAGAGCCAACTTTTCCCTCAGCTCTGAAATTTGGAATTTTCCTGTACACTTGAGGAGCTCCTAGGTGACTAAAAATCCAGCTCCTCTAGCCTGGCTGTGTCTGGTATCTGACAGGCCTCCTTTTCTCATTGTTTGATGTACCATAACCTAGGTTCGGGTTTTATTCCTCTCATAACTGCATTTAGTTTAGATTTCTTGTTTGTGCTTGTTTAATTCCTAGGGAACAGGAGGAAAAGCACATTTTGTTTCACAGTACTGAAGATTGAACTCTGGAACCTCACACTAAGCTACATCGCCAGCCCTTTTTTAAATTTTTTTATTTTGAGATAGGGTCTCACTAAATTGCTCAGGCTTAGCTCCAACTTGTGAGCCTCCCGCCTCAGCCTCCAGAGGGCTGGGATTGTAGGTGTGTGCTACCATGCCTGGCTGTGCTTTTTTTTTTTTTTTTTTTTTTTTTTAGAAAATTTTTTGAGATAGGGTCTCACTAAATTGCTCAGGCTTAGCTCCAACTTGTGAGCCTCCCGCCTCAGCCTCCAGAGGGCTGGGATTGTAGGTGTGTGCTACCATGCCTGGCTGTGCTTTTTTTTTTTTTTTTTTTTTTTTTTTTAATCTAGAAAATTTGTCAGCAATTTGGAAAAAGGATAAATAATCCACTTCTAATTTCCTGATCTAGCAAGTCAAACTGTGGCCTTTATCCTCTTTGGTCTTTATCTCTACATAACTTTATATGGTAAAACAAAATTTATTGGTGATGGATTATTTGAAAGAACTGGACAAGAGCCTTTTTCTTTTTTCTGCATTTGGATCAGAGGGCATAGCACAGTAGTTCATTCAGTATATGTACTCTTTTCTGTGAACAGAATAAGAGAGAAGCGTTTGGAAATTGTCACTTGGATACATAATTTATGATAGTACTTTAGGAATATTATGCAGCAAACAAAAAGCGTGATTGGCCCTTTGAAAGAGCACTCTGCATAGAGGTGTCTATGTTGAGCAGGGTCCCCAGAGCCAGAGTGCACATTCCGATCCTCTGCTCTCCATGGCTGCACTGCCCCCACCTCCCACCTCATGACCACAAGGCCAAGAAGAGGTGGGAAGAAGGGTTGTGGTAATACCACGAATGTACACATGTAGGAATTTGTTTTTTCCTCTTTCCCTGTCCATTCAGGTGAGGATGGCAAATTCCATTTATGAAGGGTATCAGCATTTGAAGAAGAGCCAGTTAGGCCAAGTCAGTCTTGGATTGGTGGCCTTATGTGGAGCTGTTTTAGATGTGGCGGTACTGTCACACAGAGCCTGCTTGGTGATGCCTCCCCACCTTGCTTGTCTCCAGTTTGGGAAGTTCCTGGTATCCCTCAGAGTTCACTGCCTGAGGTACAGGCTGTGTTGGCATGGCCTATGAGCAGTGAGCACACACGATAGACCAGAAGTGTTTTAGCATTTTATTTCCTTTTATATTAGATAATAATTCTTTGGTATCCACAGGATCTTCATTCCAAGACCTCCCTACAGATACCAAATCAAAAAGTTCTTTATATAAAATGGTGTAGAATTTGCATATAACTTCTACATAGCCTCCTGTATACTTTGTTATTATTGTTTTATTTTGTTTTGTTTGAGACAGGGTCTCACTGTGTGGCACAGGCTGGCCTCAAACTTGTGGTGATTCTCCTGCCTCAGCCTCCCAAGTGCTGGGATTACAGGTATCACCACACCTGGCTCTTCTGTATACTTTAAATTATCTCTAGATTATTTATAATATCTAATACAGTGTAAACACTATGGAAACAGCTGTTAGATTATATTGTTTAGTAAATAATTTTTAAAAAGGTCTTTATATGTTCAGTTCAGATGCACCCATTAATAGGCCTACCTCCATATACACTTCAGCAATGTAATTTTTCTCCTAGTAGTTTTACTATGAGGTTGGTTGAATCCATAACCTGTGGGATCCGTGGATATGAGAGCTGATGGATTGTGATTTCAATATTTTTCATGCTAATATATAAAAAATTCTTACACTTAATTGCACAAATTAAATGTGTTGAAGGTTTCTGACTCAGGCTGTAAGGGTGCCTTTGATAACCTCAGACGTACACAAGGGAGAACAAGGCCTACCAGGAAGAGTGGCATTGTGTGGGCCAGGTTTTACATGTGTACAAAACCTGCTCTGTCTGCTAGTTTGTGTGCTTGTGAAGGACAGTGAGTCTGATTTCTTTATTCTGAATGCTTAGAACTGTCATACACACCAAATAAAAGGGGGAGGCTTAGCTGAGTCTGGAAACTGGGAATGAGTTTCAATGCCTAAAGCTTATCTCCACGTGTTAATGACCAAAATAGAAGAATTAAAGTTATGTTTTTAGTTCATTATATTGTTATTGCTGTTCTACAAACATTTCTACTGTGTCTGAAGGAGAGGAATTCTAATAAAAAATTAAGTTTTAAGTCATTATTCTAATCAGTTTATTTATTTATGGTCTTACATCATAAAGTAACATCATTTGTAGCCTAGTGCTATTTAAAGGTTGCATTAAGCACTAGTAGATAACAAATAATAAGTATTTGTTTCTTAGAGTATAAAATTTAAAAGCTATCTGATAACAGCAGGTTTTGACTGCTTATAAGACATAGTTATGTGCTCTGTTAAAATTTAGGAGATTAAAATTTTTTTGGTTTTTACATTTATTATCACTGTTCACTGCCAATGAATTTTCTCCCATCTAATAATCAGGATATAGCTTAATGAGTAGGTAGTCATTGCCAAGCCTGTGGTAAGAGCGGCTCCTGTCTCCCCACAGGTATCCCAGGTGGATACCATCTGTGAGTGTCTTCTGGATCACGAAGAGCAAGTTCTGAGGGATGCGCCGCTGGACTCTGTCGAATGGGCTGAGGTGGCGATCAACGTCAACACTGTTCTCAAGGTGTGGCCTGACCTGGATGGTATCAGCCAGCCAGCCAGGAAGCCCAGAGCTGGGAGAGGAGAAAGTGGCTTCCTTCCCCTGCTCTGAATTGCCAGTCATTTATAAGGGCTTAGCCATTTGTTAACTCCCAAAAGTTAGAAAAATACTAATTTTATCAATCAGCTAACAAATATTTAGAATATTTACCTTGTGCAAATTATGAGATCCTGTGACCCTGAGTTTCTGTTTGGTAGAATAAACCTTTTATTTGGAGAGGGATGTTTTTGTAGTTGTAAAAATATTAGTATTTATGCCTCTCTCCCACTCCCTTCTGCTCTGCTGCTCAGGCTGGCCTTGAATTCCTGGGCTCAAGCAATCCTTCCACTTCAGCCTCTGAGGGGCTTGCAGGCCTGTGCCAATATGCCCTGCTTCTAGTTTTTAATTACTGAAAACTTGCTTTCTACATTATTAAAATACTTTGATTTTAGCTTTTAGACTTTATAGTTCTGGTTTTTCTGCTTTGGTTATACTTTACCAAAATTGAAGTTAAATTGTGAAATAAAACAAATTTCAGAAGTAGGAAGGACCACAAACAATGTTCAGTATTTTCCTTATCAGTAGGCTTTAGGTCTCAGACTGTCTTCAGGAACACAGTGATCTGTGCTTCCCACTTGGCTGAGATAATGCTTTTTATTTTTCCAGGATATGCTGCAAGCTGCTAGTCACTATCGCCAAAACAGAAGCTCCTTGTATAGAAGAGAAGAACCACCAAGAAAAGAGCCCGAGTACATTCCATGGACAGGTAATATATGCTGTTGTTCTAAGAGCCTACTCTAGGGCTGGGGATTTAGCTCAGTGGTTCCACCGCCTGCCTTGCAAGCACAAGGACCCGAGTTCAATCCCCAGTACCAAAAACAAACAGAAGAGTCTAGGGCCAGACTTAGTTCTCCAAGAAAAGAGCCCGAGTACATTCCATGGACAGGTAATATATGCTGTTGTTCTAAGAGCCTACTCTAGGGCTGGGGATTTAGCTCAGTGGTTCCACCGCCTGCCTTGCAAGCACAAGGACCCGAGTTCAATCCCCAGTACCAAAAACAAACAGAAGAGTCTAGGGCCAAGGACTTAGTTCAGCGGTGCTGCCGCCTGTCTCACAAGCACAAGGTCCTGAGTGTGATTCCAGTACCAAAAAAAAAAAAGAGTCTACTCTACAAAGTAGAGCTCTAATAGCCCATTGTGCTTGGAAGCTATTACTCCCCTTGTACAGGTTTGTGAATGAAAAGAGAAAAAACTTAAGTGTCATCTTCAAAGCAAGCAGTTCTTATCAATATTGCTTTAATCCTTTGGCCAAGAGAGTTCCCTATTTGACTGATACTTCTTATGCACCTACTAGGCTTCAATACAAACAATAGAAGCAGGTCTTGACCCTGGAGGAATGGGCTATATTTTGTGTTGATTTAAGGTCACAAAGTAACTGGGGAAGCATTGAAGGGATTTAGGAGGAAGCATCCCACTTACCGGATTGAACTAAGGAAATCTCCACAGAGAAGAAGGGTTCAAGCAGGGTAGGCAGGGTCACCTGAACACTGATTTGTCTTTCATTAGCAGTGAAGAGACATAGTTTTGAGGCATTTGATCTTTCCCCACCCATCACGGAAGCCTTACTGAGTTACCCTGTGTGACTTCACAGCCACAGGCAGTCCCACCGGCATCCGAACAGCAATCACCCGCCAGCACGGGGTCATCCTGAAGACGGTTTACCCACAGGTGGACAGTCACCTCCGGAACACCTTGACAGAGCAGCTGGTCACGCTGATCGACTGCTTCCTGGATAGTTACGTTTCACAGTTGAAGTCCCTAGACAAGTCCAGTGATCAAGAAAGATATGACAACCTAGAAATGGAATACCTGCAGAAAAGATCAGAACTCTTGTCTGCTCTGCGTAAGTGCATGTTATTTAGCAAGGGCTACAGGTTTGTCAGTTTGCAGAATGGATGAAGGGGTCACACAGCTAAAGTAGTGTAGTCACTGTAGCAGGATCAATCCAGCCATAGTTAAGAGCTTAAAGTGAAGCAAATAGATACTTTATTGAGCCTTTTTTCAGTATTTCCTCGGCACTAAGAAAAATAAATAAATTAACCTGGGGAGACTGACCCTGAGAGCCCAGCACCGTTGGCCTTTATATAAATAAGCAGAGTCTGGTTAGGGCTGGCAGAGGGTGTAGATGGCATAGTGTGGTAGTCAGCACAATTCCTCTCCAGGCCAGGCTCAGGTATGCAGAAGGGCGTTGTGTCTGGGCAGCAGTAATGAAGCAGTGGATTGTGCATCTTTACCAGGTCTGTGTGGGTATGAAGTTGAATGCTGGTCACCGGGAAGGTTCCCACTCCATTAGTTACTCTTAGTATATAACATGAATAAAAGTAAATTTCAAGTAATGCTTTGTTTGTATTACATATTTAAGTTTTGCCAGCAGGGTTTTTGTTTGTTTGTTTTTTTTTTTTCTTTTCTCGTTTCCAGTCACACTAGGCCAGTACCCATGTGCTGCTTCTCTGGCAGAGAAGTACTGTGACTTTGACATCTTGGTACAGATGTGCGAGCAGATGGACAACCAGACAAGACTGCAGCGCTACATGACCCAGTTTGCTGATCAGGTCAGGACACAGGGTGCATGGGCAGAGGCTCATGCTGTGGTGAGGCTTTGCCTTGTTGGGGCTTTGGAGGTGGAACTCCCAATTTTTTGTAGTTAATGTCAATGAGAAGATACTGATTTGTGAGACAGGCAGTGGAACGTCTGAGCTTAATCTCCTGCCTGATACTGATTTGCATGTTATGTTTAAGTTGGCAGATGGCTCTTTATGTGTAAATATTACTGAGAGATTCTCGGGCCTTTGCAGAATGCTAAACCTTTCCCTTCTGTTCTTACTTGATTGTGATGAGAGCACTTGTACACAGGGACATGGGAGATGTTGGGTTTGAACCAAGGACCCTGGGGAGCAGAGGGTGCTGCTCATAAAGAACTCAGATTGGCACAAATCCACATCTTCTTTCTTCTTGGGTTTGACATCACATTTTTAAATGAATTTCCCATTTTGGCACTGTCGGGGTGATTTAGGTTGCTCTTTAAGTCCATTTTATTCACATTGTATAAAAGCTGATTTTTTTTCCTACCAAGAAAATAATACTGTATAAAATTCAGGAAACCATATACACAAAAACAGGCTGATAATTCCACCACACAGAGAGAAGCCTTCTAAATATAGGATTTTTGAACTTCCAGTTTTCTACTCTATATCATAAATAAGCATGCTTTATCAACATAATACATCTCAGACATGTGTCTGTCTCGTTAAATAGTCCTCAGCAGTGTTGTTTTTTGGTACTATTGATCAAACTCAGGACCTTGTGCTTGAGAGGCAGGCGGTGGCACCACTGAGCTAAATCCCCAGCCCATGTTGTTATTTTTGAGACAAGATCTCTGTATGTAGTTTAGGCTGGCCTTGATTTCACTATATAGTCCTGGCTGGCCTTGAACTCACTGATCCTCCTGCCTCAGCCTCCTGAGTGCTGGGGTTACAGGTGTACACCACCACGCCTGGTTACAACAGCATCTCTAGTAGCATGATGATATTTTATTAACTGATTTCATGGGATCAGTACTCAGTTCTTGGGCCTAACTTATCCAGTATTGTATAGTAGTGCTAAATACTTCTGACTAATCATAATTTTTAATTTTTAAGGGTCCTAGCTGTCCATTTTATTTATTTTTTTATTCATTAAGTTCATTAGTATATTTTAGGTATGCAGTATGATGACATTCATCGTTGGGAATTTGTACCTTTATATGCTATATCTTGATTCTTATTTTTTCCCCACTCCTCTGTCCTCCCTTCAACCTCTCCACCACTCCCTATTTACAAAGACTTTATTTCCTTTTCTCATATTTATTCCTTTCCCTTGGTCATCAATTTTCTATCCTTTTTCCATGTTTTTTTTTCTTTAACAGGTTTAATGGGTATTTTTATGCTAACTTCACACATTCCTGGGTCTGCTTTGGTTACCTATTTAAATTTTTTCTTTTTTCTTTCTTTCTCTCTCTCTTTTTTTTTTTTTTTGGTTCTTTTGAAACAGTCTTGCCCTGTAGCCCAGCTTTCAGTCCTACCTGAGCCTCTTATGTGGTGGAATTACAGGCATACACCACCACTCTTGTCTTGGATGCCTTTTTATGTTGCTTATTAGTCAGGGTTTCCTGCTTCTTATATGTCATATTTTTTCCCCTTTCCCACTACCAGGGTCTGAATTCAGAACCTTGTCCTTGCCAGGCAGGCGCAGTGCCACTGAGCTACACCCACAGCCCATAAGTCATAACTTTTTTGTTGTTGTTGTTGTTGTTCTGTTTGGATTTTTGAGACAAGGTCTCACTATGTAGTTGAGACTGACCTGGAACTCACTATGTAGCCCAGGCTGGTCTTGCACTCACAGTGATCCTCCTACCTCAGCCTCCCGAGTGCTAGGATCACAGGCGTGCACCACGCCCAGCTCACATGTCATAACTTTTAAATTGTGTTTTGGATGTTAGTTATTAAAGGAACTATGGAAATGGAAATGAATGTTCTTTTACTCTTAGGCAGGTCAGGTGAGAGGCAGATCACTTTCCATCAGGAGTGGAGGTGGGCTAGCACTTTTCTCAGCTTTCGTCACATGCATTTTGCTGCTGACCTCAGTTCTTTTGAGGCCTCCCTGGATTCCAATGTGTCACTCAGTGCACACAGTCAGCTCCATAGCACTGACCCTGAAGGATTCTTGTTCTTGGTCATCTCAGTCTCGGTGCTGTCTAGTAGACAGAGATGTTGCTTATGTGTTGTCCAAGAGGAGGAGGTGCTGTCCTCAACCAATTGAGGTGGGGTCATTGTGCCTAGGGAACTGAATTTTTAATGCTATTATTTAAATAACAACGTGGCCCGTGGTTCCCACACAGGCTGACACGCTGTTGATCATGAGTGAGATTCTTTTTGAACCTGAGGTGAATTAGAAGTATAGGAAAGTCGTTTCCTCCATGTGGGAATATATTCTAATAATATGTAACAGTATACAGTGGACCCTCAACTTAGACTGGCCTGACATACGCACAATTTGGGTTAATTAGGTTAATGAATATTCATCTGCCTCTTGTTATCTGTAGCGTGTACCCAGGTAAACATCCAGATCTCAGCTGTACCAACTTACAACCGACTTGAGTTACAACCAGCCCTCAGGAACTGATCTAGTTCTAAGAGAAGTGTTGACTGTATATTCCTATAACAATATAGGAATTTATTGTTTGAAAGATTTCGATTTGGGATCTTTGGAAGATACTTAGTATTCCACTAATAAGAAATGTACTTTAAAAAGATGTGTTACTAAATATTAATGGATTCTTGGTTCTGTTATTTGTAGAATTTTTCAGACTTTCTCTTTCGTTGGTATCTGGAAAAGGGAAAGCGGGGCAAATTATTATCTCAGCCCCTGTCTCAACATGGACAGCTGGCAAATTTTTTACAAGCTCATGAACACCTCAGCTGGTTACATGAAATTAGTAACAAAGAATTAGTAAAGGTAAGAAAGAGTCAGTTATCCAGTTTATATGAAGCTGATGTGTGCAATTTAAGTATTAATTTGGCTTTTCATAATTAAAATGTTATTTCTAGTTGTACATGTGATAAAGGGGCTAATATCTAAACTATACAAAGGACTCAACAAAGAAAAAATACCAAGAAAATAGCCCAATTAGAAAATGAGTGAATGGGGCCAGGGATTTAGCTCAGTGGCACCATGTCTGCCTCGCAAACACAAGATCCCCCGTACCAAAACAAAGAGCTAAGACCTGAGCAGACATTTCTCAATGAACAAATGAGTGGACCGCGCAGTGAGTTTACCAACCTGGACTACACAGTGAGACCGTGCCTCAGAAAAACTACCAAAAAAAAAAAGTGAACAAATAGCCAACAAATAACATGTTTTTCTCAACATTAGTGGTTAAGATTATGCAAATTAAAACCACCATGAGATCTCACCTTATACCTGGCTCTAATGAAAAAGATGAATGATTGGTGAGAATGTGGACAAAAGGGAACCCTTGCACACTTTTTTCCCCCCAGTACTGAGTATCAAACTCAGTACCTTGATGCTTGCCAGGCAGCCATGGTGCCACTGTGCTACATCCCCGGTCTCCTTGCACACTATTGATGAGAATGTAACTCAGTTCAGCCATTGCGGAAAACTGCATGGAGGTTCAGTAGAAAGCTAGAAATAGAAATACCATCTGCCCCAGCAGTACCTTACTTGTGGGTATATATATCCAGATGTGAAATTAGTGTCTGAGAGACCACTGCACACCCATATTCACGTGGTGCTATTCATAATAGCCCACTTAAGGACTTTGGCAGAGTGTTAGTGCATGAACTGATAATCAGGATGTGTGGTACATATACACATTAGAGAATACTGCTCAGCCTTTAAATAAAAGGAAATTCTGCCATTTACAGCAACATGGGTGAACATAGAGGACATTGTGTTCTGTGAAGTAAGCCAGGCACAGAGCAACATACACTGCGTGGTCTGTTACCTGTGGAATCTGAGACAAACTTACCTGGTTACAGAGGTTGAATGGGGGAGTGGAGAGATGTTGGTCAAAGGGCAGAGTTTCAGGTAGGTGAGGAAGAAGGTGGCTATAGTTAATAATAGTGTTGTGTATTTCAAACCTGCTTATGGAGTAAATTTCAGTTATCACCACAAAAAGTCCTTGAGTGATAGATGCTAATTAACTTTATGTAATCATTCCACATTGTATGCTTTGGACTCTAAAGATACACAATTATGACAACTTATAGTAAAATTTTTAAAAAATTGAATAGATATAGATTATAGATTATCAAAATGTGTATCTTGGGGCCGGGAATTTAGCTCAGTGGTGCTGACGCCTGCCTCACAAGGACAAGGTTCTGAGTTTGATCCCTGGTACCAAAAAAAAAAAAAAAAAAAAAAAAA